AATTAAACACAATTGATATTCTAAAAAGCGAATCTTTATTTATTAAAATACGTGTAACGATTGTCCCGAACACTTACTAATAGACCTTTAATATACTATATGACTTTGGATTTTGGCAGTGATTAAGGTCTATTTTCCCATTTATATCAATTTCGAAAATCAATCTTCCTAAAAAAAGAAAAAGTATTTTTCCGTAAGTGATTATCTTTAGAGAGAATGACAACAAGTCGAAGTGTTTTTTTACAAAAAAGAAAAACAAACTGTTAAATTACAAATCACTAGTACTTTCCTACATTGGCAATATAAAGAGATAGATTAGTCAAAAATACTTTCTTTAATTAATAACATATGTGCAATTGATTTCTATTTTCCTCGAAATCCGCTTAACTTTTCAAATTACCGCTGTCGCCATCGCCGCCGCCAGTGAGATCATATAATCAATGTATGTCAACATCCATTGTTGCCAATCCATCAACTCTATGATCAATTACCTTACTACCAAACTAGTGTAGAATTGGCCAATAGGCGTGCGGCCCTACTGGTAAAGGGATTGGGGGTGGGGACGCTAGTATCATAGGTGCGGAGTTCGACTCTTACGTTCTATGAAAGGTAGAACAAAAGTCTGAGAGTGAGAGAATAGTTAAAGGTATGATAGACAAAAAAAACAAATGTAAAATTGGATGTGTTGTTTTTTCCTTTCTTGGCGATCGGCTCTCGTGTTAATGACTTGAGTGAGTCTTTGTATGAGCACATTTTCAATAATCGAGTTTATTGCGAGTCACACTAGCGTCGGTTATTTGTGAGCCATCTACACTATATATAAAGTCAATTTTAAAATTTGGCGTCCACTTTTTATACAAACAAAACATCCTACCATACCTTAGTATAAAAAAAAAATAAAGAGAACAACATATATCATTCATAATTAGAATTCAATATCTTCCTACAATTACATCGTGGATCTCCTATTTTTTATGAGCAGTTCAGGTCCATATTCTATGCTAAAAAATTATCCAAACTCATCTCAAACTGGAACATGCGCATATATAAAAGAGAAGTTGAGAAAACAAAATATTAAATCCCACCTGTTTTTCTGGCAAAAGAAAAGAAAAACATCTCGATTTTTAGAAAGTAATTCCTATTGTCATGTAGTCCTCCCTCCATGGAATAATTTCTACCTCCTCCGTCTTTGTTTTATCAATTTTTGCTTTTTGAACAAATCTCTCGCTCGGCTCGGGGCTCAAAGCTTATAGGAGCGATTTATCGTAATGGAGAGTACACCAATTTGATATGTCTATATAAACAAATAAATAAAAGAAATGGTCTGCATTTTCTCAAGATAAAAATCAAGCTTTCTCAAAAAAACTATACAATGGTGGTACTCTATGATAATCATTACATGCATTACAAAACTATGTAAATTACACACAAATTGCTGTTTTCATTCTTCCCTTTTCTTTAATCATTTCCCTTGCCTTTTAGAATGGACCCCAGCATGCACTGCCAAAGGGCCGCCTCTCATGCTGTCTCAACTTTGCAAAACATGGTTTTTGTGCCTTTTGTCTTGCTAATAGTAGACAGCTAATATGAACAAAATTACAAGGTGCGAACAGAAAACAATACAATATTACCCCCTTTCTTTTATTCCTTGTGAAAAGACTCAAAAACTTTGGACTTGAACCCTAGCTTTAAATTGCAAAAGCAAGGAACACACAGCTCAAATATATAAAGAGAAACGTATCTTTTGCAATTAATTATAATTAAAGTAGATAGACTTTGATCTAGTTTCATCTTTATGTTGAATTTTTCGATGGGTTTATCAAGAATCTAACAAAAATTAGTATGGAAAAAGAGCTAAAGGTGCTTTATCTTTCATTTTTTAATCCACTAGACCCTCTCAAGCAATTTGCTTATCCTGATCCAACCAAAACCAATAACTTAATATTGAGCTTAAGCCACGGTCAAGCTACAATTGCTCACTAGTTGGAATATATTACAATTAATCTAATTTAGTTTTCATTTTAACTTCTTTAGATATTTTTGAGCTACAATTTTGCTAAAGTTACTGTGGAAAAAGAGCAGAAGGTTCTTTAAAATGTTGTATCGTGCTTATATATTTATGTTGTATTTTGTCGATGAATGCACACGGGACATTTAATTTAGTAAGCAATCAAATTAAAAGAATTTTAATTTTCACGGTATTAACTTTTCTCAAAGAGCGTGCATGCCTATGCAATTATGCATAATTAATCAATCTCCTGTTTTCAAAAGAATGTATTAGCTTAAAGGAAAGCAGACTTGTCCATTGTTGTGAGTTTGGTTAAAAAAAAAAAGGAGGAAGGAGGGAGAGCAAAGTTAGTGATAGAAAGGGAAAAGGAGAAGAGACACTCTTTCTCTAAAAATGAACAGAACGTTCACTGTTGTGACAAATTTGGATTAATTAAGTTAAGGGTTAATATCACGAAAAACTCCAAATTGATACACCTGTGATAATTTTACCCCAAACTAATTTTTTGACTACAAAAAATCCCAAACTGGTATACTTGTGATAAATTTACCCTCAGTTTGTTTCCATTAAATTTTACTGTCAAATTATTTTGTTAAATAACACGCGACAATTAACCGATGTACCAGTTTTATGTTTTACCCTTCATTTGTCACAGGTGTACCCGTTTATGATTTTTTGTGATATTAATTCAATTTAACGGAAACTAACGGAGGGTAAATTTATCACAAATGTACCAGTTTGGGGTTTTTAGCTGTCAAAAAATTAGTTGGTAAATCTGTCACGGGTATACAAGTTTGGGGTTTTTTATGGTAAAAAAATTAGTTTTGGGTAAAATTATCACAAATGTACCAGTTTGGAATTTTTCGTGGTATTAACCCTTAAGTTAATTAACTCTGCTTTGTATCTAACTAAGCTTGGTTTGTCTCGACATTTATATATCCATCTTTTAAGAGAACCTACCTATCTTTGTCATAACCCTCACATTTATAAGTCCAAATCATTCTAATGGGAATACATCTTTAGTCTCAATGCATAGGATTAGGTAACTCGATTAATCAGATTCCAAATAACAACTAGTGTGATCCAATCAGCTTGAACCCGATACAATTTGATACTCGATAATGGGTTATTTCCGTTATTTGACACTTACAAGTGAACACCACCATTAATCGCCACTACCCACTATCTAAATGTAGTTAAAAAAAACAATCATGTGCTTTGCTTTTTTTTTTTCTTTCTTTCAATGAGGGATTGGTTCATTATTTGAAACTTTAATTGGCGTCACCAAACCAATATTATCGTGCGTTAGGGTCTAATACTAACTTTATAAAATGGAGTTGTCTTTCGATCTCTTGACCTGAATTACCTCAAAGTCTAAGTCATATAAATTCCGTGGACTATTTTCATCATTTAGCACTTAAAAAGTGAAAACCACCATTAACCATTCAATTGTCAAACAAAAAGAAGAAAAATGAAAATTTGATTGCATTTTTTTGATGAGCAAACTATTTATCATTATAAAAAAAATTAATGGCCACACTAGCCCAATCTAATGTAAGTCACACGTTACGCTTGTTGGGTCAAGCTCTATTCAAAGCTTGAGTTAAACTTTGAATTCGCAAGATACAATATGACATATAACACGCAGGATGCTCTTCAAGTTATTTGAAACTTACAAGTGAAAAACACCATTAAACGCCACTACCCACCATCCAAATGTAGTTACACAAAAAAAAAATCGTGTGTTTTGCTTTTTTTTCTTCTAACGAGGGAATGGTTCATTATTTGAAAACTTTAATTGGAGCCACCAAACCCATCTGGTGTAAATTGCGTGCGTTAGGGTCTATTACTAACTTTATAAAAGGGAGTTGTCTTTGGATATCTTGACCAGAATTACCTCAAAGTCTAGGTCATGATATTATCTTGAATTAATATCGTATAAATTCAGGGACTATTTTCATCATTCAGCACTTAAAAGTGAAAACCACCATTAACCATCACTCTGCACTACTCTCCACCATCGTAGTTATTCAATTGTCAAACAAAAGAAAAATACGAGAAAATTATTTATCATTTGAAACCTTTTAACGGCATCACTAGCCCAATCTAACGTAAATTGCGCGTACGCTGGGTCAAGCTGCAGTCAAAGCTTGAGTGAAACTTGAATTCGTAAAATAAAATAGAACATGGAGGATGCTCTTCAAGTAGTTTATAATTGTCTGCATGCATTCAAACAAGTAAATACGACTTGATAAGACTCTTGTCTACTTAAAGTAGAGTACTTTCAAGTTCAAGACTCAAATTAAGTCGCTCATACCCAGATGATCGATCAAATCAAAACTTGAATAATACGCAAATAGAATTAAAGCAAGTTCTCGAATATCTTTGACTAATTTACACCGAGGATCTTACTTTAGACAACACATGTCAAAAGAATTCAAGACTTGTTACCCAAACCCAACACAAAATCATAAAAAGTTGAACACGGAGAGTGAAATCCTTTTCCAACTTGCAAAGACCAAAACCCCAAGAATTTCCCCAAGCTTGAGGCCCGAGGGGGAACAATGGGCACAAAAAGAGAGAAAATGAATAAAGGGAGGACTAGAAAAAGGAAAAGGGGAAAGAAAATGCAACTCCAATTTTCTCTCCTTTCCCATTCTTTTCCACCCTTCAGAAAGAAAAGAGGGGAAGGGGGAAAGAAAAGAGAAAAAAAAGGAAGCAAGTGAGGGAGAGAGAGAGAGAGAGAGAGAGAGAGAGAGAGGGGAATGCAAAATGCATGCAATGGAGATGATGATGACTATGAGCATCATAACTGTCTGGAGATAGAGAGAGAGAAGGAGAGAGAGAGAGAGGGAGGGAGGGAGAGACATCAAAGTTGGGGGGGAGTGCTGAGCGCACTAGCCAGACACAGTGGCCCCACCATCCCCAAAACACCATCATCACCATCTCCTCCTCCTCCTTCTTCACCATCATCATTACCAAACGCTTCTCTCCCTCTCTCTCTCTCTACTCCACTCACCAACTCCTCCTCCCGCTTTCCCAGCTTCCCTCAAAAACGCCAACCCAACAAGGAGATCTCTCTCCCCTTCAAGCAAACGCTCTCTCTCTCTCTCTCTCTCTCTCTCTACCTCTCTCTTGTCATCTCTGCTTGTGTTTGTGTGAGCGTTTGTGTCATTTACTCATGGAACCCCCACCTGCTCGTGGCCGCGACTCGGCGGCGCCGAAGCTCGACACGGCGGGAGAGGAGGCGGAGCTCGAGCTGGGCCTCGGGCTCAGCGTGGGCGGCGGCGGCGGCGGCGAGCGCGCCGGAGCCAAGCGCGGCAGGATCTTGACGGCCCGCGACTTCCCGTCCTCGGTAGGGACCAAGAGGGCCGCCGACGAGGCCGTCTCGCAGGAACCTGGCGGCGGATCCCCCACTTCTGGAAGGTCAGAGCTTTAGTTTCTTTATACCGGATGTTCGGTTTTGGAGTCCGGTCGTGGAGGAAATGGTGCGAAAAGAGATCGAATGTGATCAGTCATGGATTGCTAGGCCATCCTCTGGTTGTTACGGGGAGAAAAGCATGGGATTGGACTTGGAGAGAGTTCATGAAGCAAAGTAATATAGGCACCATGCATGTCGAATGTCTGCGTTAGTGTTAATTAGTCAATACAATAATGTTCTTCACCGGGTAGTCAGGTACAGAGCCTTGCTTATCTTGGCAAAGTTTGGTATCCCTTTTTAGTGTAGTTTTTGGACTCGTTTTTAAGTTTTCCTATATGGGTATGTTCTTCCTTTGGCGAGCTTGTCCATTGTCTGTGCCTAATCTTCCTATAGTTTTGCTTTTATATTTTCCCATATTTCTGCTATGACTAGTCCGTTTGTTTTCCCTGGTAAAAAATATAAAGAAACTGCAGATTAATAATTAACAGAAAAAGTTATGTTGCTAAGGGAGTTGGTGTTCAATTCTCAGCATATAATCTATGCTGTAATTGCCCTTTTAAAAGATTTGTTTGTGGGGATATGATTCCATATCTGCATAATAATCATGTGTATTCAGTTGGTATTGTAACTAGGGAAAAAGGAAAAAAAAAAAATCTAAACACATGTTGGTATGGAGGTTTGAACCCGACACCTCGTCCCACCTCCTATGTCATAGTTGTCGGCTATATCATGGTTTGCTTCATATTTAGTGTACACGACTGTGGCGACATTTCCGGTTGTCTCTCTTTGAATCTCCCATGAAGGCAGATTCTGACTTGGGTACCCTGTGGAGTCACAACTGATTCTACTACGTGCTACCTAAGCTAATCTCCATTTCAGCTTTGCAATGTCATTACTCTGTCTCTATGATCCTCAATCTGATACATGCTGTGACTCGGTTGATGGGTGCAGTCAGGTTGTGGGATGGCCACCTATCAGGGCATACAGGATGAACAGTCTGGTCAACCTCGCAAAGGCGCCTCGAGCTGAGGACGACATATCACCGAATGAAAAGGGCAAGTCAAAGGATGGTTCGGAGGACAAAACGCGTACCAGTGGCAAGTCTGATGTTGACGGCAGAGAGCAAAAACATATCGGGTTTGTGAAGGTGAACATGGATGGGATTCCCATTGGAAGGAAAGTGGACTTGAATGCTCATGCTTGTTACGAGACTCTAGCTCAAGCTTTGGAAGACATGTTCTTCCGACCTGCCAAAACTGTTGATTTAACCGGTAAGTCTTATCCTTTCATTTAATTGTTTTGACCCTTTTCTATTCATGATTTTTCTTGACGTAATCTTTACTGTTTTAGAGGTAGAGCAGGGGCTATTCACTTTGTGTCCTGAAAGTTGATGGGGTTTGAAAACAAAATTACACAGAAATCTTGGATATAAATCCAGACAATATGTTGAACCTGGGAATTTGCGGAAGCATGACTAGGCACTTGCTTACTGCTCAGAGTAAATTAATAACTTAAGCTCAGGGGCTAAATTATGAATGCTGACACGATTTGGAATAAATTTGAAACATGACATCATAAAGCTATCACGAGCTACAAGCCATATAGTCGACGTTAAGGTGGATAAGCTATTGCTTCTTATTCTGGTCAGTAATGGTTTGGGCTTTAAATTACTAGGGGTTGAAGAAAATAGGCAGGTCAAGAAGTCCTCGAAGCTTCTCAATGGATGTTCTGAGTTTGTGCTGACTTATGAAGATAAAGAGGGAGACTGGATGCTCATTGGAGATGTTCCTTGGGGGTAAGTCATGAACTCACATTTTATTTTCTTGAATCAATTCAACCAAATGGTGAATTTTTGTTGACTTCGTCGTCTTTTCCTGAGTTTGTTCTGGCTTGGTAGATTGGCATTTGACTTTTCCAGGAAACATGTAAACTGTCTAGCAGTCGAGGACCGGCAAGGAATAGATTTAGCGGAAGTGGAAATAGTTTATCTATTTATAAGATGGACTAGATTTTTCTGATAAACGACTGATTCCGTCTCTTGTACTGAAACTAAATAAACAAGAAGCGCGCGGTACCACTTCAAGTTTTTGTTCTGAGTTTGTTAAATGTTGTTTCCTAATGCTCATATTTGTTTGCTCAATAGGATGTTCCTCACTGCTGTCAAGAGACTTAGAATCATGAGGACTTCCGAAGTGAATGGAATAGGTATGCACAATGTTCAATCAAACAGTCTCTCTTCGAAATCGAACGATTTCTTGTTTTTCTGCTCTTTAATGCGATTCATAAATTTTCTTGCAGCTCCAAGATTCCAACAAACGAGCGAGAGGCAAATGAGAAAGCCGATATGATATCGTTCTCATCAGTCTTCTCACCCTTTCAAATCTGACTACACAAAAGAAGCAAATACCCCGGAAGCGTATAATTTAGGAAATTATATACACCCGGTGAGAGTGCGCCCTGACGAATTGTGCTGATCTTCGCACTTTACATCCTGCCGACCATCCTCCGGTTGTCCTTTATATTTGTTGTATTTCCTTTTCTTTTATTTTGTGTCTTCAAAGGGTAGATTCATCTCCATCTTGATCCTTCCAATCTCTCCAATAGGTGGAGTAATGGGGTGCTCTGCATATTTTGCTGAATGTTTTGTTTTTTTTTTTTTTTTTGGGATTCTCATACTGTAAATATGGGAATATTGAGGTTATCTAGAGGGTTTGAGCTTGGAAATGCTGCTTGTTGCGGAGATTGTTTTTGTTCTTTCCTTTGTTCTATTTTCTTTTGTCCTTGTGGTTGAATGTTAGTGAGATCCATATTTGTTCCTTTGCTGATGGAAGCTCTGGGGTTGAAGCTGAGATTGTTTGAATTTGTCGATTTATGTTTTCATTAAGGGTTCGATTAAAGAGACTTTCTCTTGCAATACGCCGCTCGTGATAATCTCATAATCAGATGAACGAGCGATCGACTCGGTTTACGAAAGCCTAGGACCAATTACTTTATCGAAAGCACTCATCAAATGGTGACCAATTCTTTCTAGCACCAAATCACAATTCATCAAGATGTGATCTTCACGGTTCTCTTATTGGTCGAACTTCATGAAATATTTACTTTTATTGACATATTTAGAAAGTCACTGAGGCAATTTCGAGAGTGACTTTCTTCAAAGATAGGGTTAATACCACCAAAAATTTCAACCGGTACATTTGTGATAATTTTACCAAAAATTAATTTTTTGACCACTAAAAACCCTAAACCGGTACACCTGTGACAAATTCACACTCCATTAGTTTCCATTAAATTTTATTATTAAATTGCCGAGTTGGATGACACGTGGCAGTTAACAGGTATACCAGTTTGGGGTTTTAACAAGTATACTTATTTGGGATTTTTCATGGTTTTAATCCAATTAAACGGAAACTAACGGAGGAGAAATTTGTCACAAATATACCGGTTTAGTGTTTTTTATGGTCAAAAAATTAGTTTGGGATAAATTTATCACAGGTGTACCGGTTTGGAGTTTTTGGTGATCAAAAAAATAATTTTGGGTAAAATTATCACAAGCATACCAGTTTAGGGTTTTTCGCAGTATTACCCTTTAAAGTTACCAACACATTCGAGATTTACAAATTTAGACCGTAGTTTGGATCTGTGGACTGTGTTAAGTCTCATGGGTGAAAATTGAAATGGCATGTGCTGATGTTATTCTTGGGAAAGCTTGCTATGTCTTCTCATGATCAGGCAATTGTAAACCGAAAATGTAGTAGGTAAACTCTTGATAATGTGCTCATTAATATGTTCAATATATCGGGGAGGTAAATAATTTAACCTATGTCTTAACAAAACAAATAATTTAATGCATGTGTTCATTATTTCCCTAGTGGCCTTAAACCTACAATGAAAGTCTGACCATCTTTTTTTCTCTATTTTTTGGGTTTTTATTAATACAAAAACTCAATTTAAATATATGAATCCTAATTCATCAAACATTCAATTAATATCATCAATCAAACAAGGCATATATTGAAATTCGAGAAGTGAGAAGCTGACCATATCACATATTTCCTTTCCTCCGTCACTAATTCAATCTCTATGGGTTTGTTTTTATTTTTGTTAATACCACGAAAAACTCAAAACTGATACATCTGTCACAAATTTACCCAAAATTAATTTTTTGACTACCAAAAACTCTAAACTGGTACGAATATGACAAATTTACTCCAAACTAATTTTTTAACTACCAAAAACCCAAAACTGGAATATTTGTGACAAATTTACCCTCTGTTTAGTTTTCGGTAAATTGGATTAATATCACAAAAAATCACAAATGGGTACACTTATGATAAACGGAGCTAAAATCCCAAACTGTTACATTCGTCAACTGCCACTTGTCATCCAACTCATCAATTTAACATTAAAATTTAATGAAAACTAACGGAGAGTAAATTTGTCATAGGTAAACTAATTTGAGGGTTTTTTATGGTCTAAAAATTAATTTTGGATAAATTTGTATCAATTTGAAATTTTTTTGTGATATTAATTTTTTTTAATATTTATTAATAAGTGATCTTTGTGAGGGTATGGTGGAACAGTTGTATGTGACAATACAACCTGCTGTGGTGAGAACTGAGAAGAAAGCACCTGAACAGAGACAAAAGAGTGTACCATATCTTGATCAATGATCATAATCTCCAGTGCAGATTATAACTCATCATAACATGAGCCACAAAAATTTTTTATTTTCCTTTTATTGCCATGATTACCTCCTTTTATAATTCACTCTTTTGGGTATGTCACCCTTTTGATCTCCCTAGTGTTGAGAAAATTTAACTTCAGCCGTCCGTATACTTTCTTTCGGCGCAACCTCAACCTTCGTATTGTTCCCTCGACGATGATTTAGATCCTTTCATTAAATTTGTACGCGAAAATTATCAAAAATTGCCCGAATCAGCACCAACTTGACACTTAACGCTTTACACTTTTCGGACTCCATATTTTAGTGATGATCTTTTTTAATCCACGTGCTAATTTATTTTGGAGACAAAAAATGATCTTTGTTAACGGAATTTAATTATTCTCATCATATTCCCACGCCAAAATCTCATGAAAATGTCAGATCCAAACCAACTATTAACTTTCGATTCCTCCAAGTAGAAGTGTGCTTAATCACCACCACCCATTGAGATTAATTCCACTTTATACAACAATTGTGCATAACCCGCATAGAAAAAGGAAAAATTAAGATGACCTAAAAATGATGCTATTTTATGTAACTCTAACCGTTGAATTTAGTGTCATCTAAAAAAAAACTATTAAATTTAGCAGACCTAAGCATGTCCTTAAATTGCATCATCTAGGGCATCGTCTAGATCTTGGGATCCCCTCAATGTAAAGTAATTAAAAGATATTTCCTCTTTTTCGGGAAGACAAAAATTGGGAGAAAACTTGAGGAGGCAATGCGTGCAGGCACCAAACATTAAAATAATGAACGTGTCCGTGGAGCCCACTGTCTTTACATGTCAAACGGACGGACCATGGATGCTCTTGTCAGAGTTTAGGCTAGAAATGATGACCTAGAAATGATGCTATTTTAGGGTTAATTTCAAAAAAAGCACTAACTTTAGGTCGATGGACAATTTTGGCCTGAACTTTTTTTTGTTCCATAAAAAAAGCATCAACTTTAGGTCGAGGGACAATTATGACCCGAACTTTTTTTTGTCCCGTGAAAAAGCATCAACTTTAGGTCGATGGACAATTCTGGCCCAAACTTTTTTTTGTCTCGTAAAAAAGCACCAACTTTCACTTAAATCCCAAATCTGGCCCTTGTTGACTTAAAACCATTGATTTTTCAACTTGACTATTCCACCTTAGCAATAAATTCACGTGACTTGCTGACTGGATTTAAAGCATTATTCATTGTCTTATATTCTGAACCACAGCTTGAAGAATAACGGTGAAACTGTTCGTCTCCTTCACTTCACCGGTAAGTAAAAAATATCTCCAGATTGAATCTTTCTGGCCAAACTTCGTCGTTTTGTCGTAATCTGAAGCTGTAGACCACCGTCAGTCGACAGACGCCATGGAAGAGATTCGCCAAGTTTACCACCATAACTTTTTTTCTCAAACAAGGGTAACTTCAGACAGAAAGTCAACGGGGGGCCAAATTTGAAATTTAAATGAAAGTTGGTGCTTTTTTACGAGACAAAAAAAAATTCGGGCCAGAATTGTCCCTCGAATGAAAGTTTGTGCTTTTTTTGGAATTAACGCTGCTATTTTATGTAACTCTAACTATTGAATTTGCCAGGATTTTTTCTCGTTAGACAAGCTCTCGTGCTTGTCGATTCCATGTGTTCTCCATTTTTGAGAAAGGCGAAATTGAAAGGACATCTGAATTATGCATTTAAAAAAGTATGAAATCATGGCAATTGAGTGACACAACCCCGAGCACTCCAATTTTTCTCCAAGGCCACTTTTCAATTAGAGGAAAATAAACTACGTTGAGAAAAAAAAATTAAATTACAATGATTTTTTTCTTTATTCTTTACTTTTTTTATATCTTACGAGCCATGTCTTTTCATTTTTTGTAATGGGTTAATACCACCAAAAAACCCAAACTGATACACCTATGACATATTTATCCAAAACTAATTTTTTGATCACCAAAAATCCCAAATTGGTACACATATGATAATTTTATCATTCGTTAGTTTTCGTTAAATTTTACTATCAAATTACTAAGTTGGATAACACAGTTAACTGATTTGGGGTTTTATCCTTCTTTTGTCACATGTGTACCAGTTTGTGATTTTTCGTGGTATTAATTCAATTTAACGAAGGGGTTTTTGGTGGTCAAAAATTAATCTTGAGTAAATTTATCATAGGTGTACCAATTTGGGATTTTTCATGGTCAAAAAATTAGTTTATGATAAATTTATCACATGTGTACCAGTTTTGAATTTTTCGTGGCATTAACTCTTTTGTAATTCGAAACATCTGAAGATTTCACAAAAAAAAAATATACAAATGTTACATGTGGGTTCGTATATAATTTTTTTTGGGTCATTTGATTAATGTTTTAAATTGTGGTGCAAAATAAGAAAGTATTATTTACTTTTAGAAAGCCTAAACAAGCGAGCTTGGAACCCACCCGTGGGCAGCTGCGCTGGTTCGGGTGTTCCCAGTCTTTACCCGTGAGAGCTGGGATCGATTCCCTAGCACTGCTATCGCGATTTAAGTAGGGGGCCATGGCGGTGGGTTGCTGTGCTAGTTCCCCTCGAGGTATAGTCTCTGCTGGCTGTCGGCCGTACGTGCGGATCCTCGATTATCAAAAAAAAAAAACAAGCGAGCTTGGAGTTTCTATATGGTACCATATCTTGCAATTTTTACACTAGAACAAAGTGCTTAATATGCCATTACTGAACTGATTTTTTGGACTGCGTTACAGTCGAAATTATTAATCCTTGGAAAATGCTACCTGTTTAATACCAACTATTGACACGTGACGCCTATAATATAAAAGTCCTGAGACAATCTAAACTTTTGATCTCTGTATTTTAGTGATGGTCATTTTAATCCATGTAATAAATTATTTTTGTGGCAAAACTGATTTTTTTAACGAAATTTAATTATTTTCATCACATAACCGCAAAAAAATCTCATGAAAATGCCAAATCAAGACCAATTATTAATTGCTGATTCCTCCATGTAGAAGTGTTCTTGATCACCACCCATTGAGATCGATTTCACTGCATACAACAATTGCGTCCTTGTTTCGAGTGGATATCCATATAGAAAAAGAAAAATCAAGAAGACCTAGAAAATGATGCTATTAATGTGGTCTTAAATATTTGATG